GATGGAGTATATATAGAAAAATGCCTATTCCTTGGAGCATTTGTTATTAAGGTAAGTATGTTTTATTGATTGGAAATATTGTACTCTACAAAGTTCTATTGCATAACCATATTTGTTTTTGTAACTTCACAAGGCCAGAGTTTATATATATATATATATATATATATATATAGTTTTGGGTTGTCTTCACGAAATAAGAAAGAATCACAAGATCAATTCATTTATATTAATTCTAAAATAGTAGTTATTCAAAAAAAAATCTAAAACGGTAATAGGAAAAAAATAAATATTATTTGAATTCTTAAAGACACTTTAACTGGGAAGTAAGTCATGAAGTAAGTTGGGAAGTATCTCAGGCTTCCCGAAAAGGGCTGTTCAATATATATAGATTCCTTAAGATCATTCACATGTGGTAAAGGTATACATGCATGAAGATGTGAGTTGGCTTTGTTTGATAACCTTGAGAAGATTCTTGGATGAGGTGGATGAGGATTTAATAGAATCGATACCAACACAACGCCCAATTCCTTAACCCAACACTTGTTTGAGAAATTAAACTTAAAGAATATAAAATCCTTATACAGTCTACATGGCAATCTAGGACTTGCAATTAGCTCAACTCAAGTTGGATAACCAGAGCGTGGCCATGATGGTTCTCCAAGCAATGTTGACTCTTGGCGAACAACATTAAAGGCACCCAATTGATCGTCTGAGAAAACGCCATAAAAAGATTTATCTAAATAGGTTGCTCTACGTGGCCGATTAGACGAATTATATCTTTGAAACTATTGATGAGTTTGATGATATCTCCTTTCCATATTTACAGAATCATGGACTTCCATTTTGTGCATAATTCATAGCTAGATTATAGCATAATTCCTAGCTAGATTGTAGGTCATTACCTTCATTAGATGATATGGTCTTTATTACTCAAGTTGTAATTAGCTATAATATTTTGTATAAAAATGTGCATCACTTACAATCAATACAAGCAATTCTAAAGAAGTATTCTGATTTTATATATTATCATAGCAGGTCTTTTCTAAATTTTTTTTGTAGACATGTCTGGAGGTACAACAAATCACGCTTGTGGGGATTTGCTAATGATTGCAAACACATCCCAAATCATTGCAGTCGATACAAATTCACCCTATCAACTGCATCCCTTTAAACACCTAGGTTTGGTTTTTGTAACACATTCTCTTGGTGAAAATGGTGAAAATCACTTCATCTGGAGGTGTAGTTTTCTAAATACATTACAATTCAAGAACAAAGTAGGATTCGTGGATGGAAGCATAAAGAAACCAAATGTTAACTCTATAGATTTCTAGTTGTGGATGCAATGTAAAGCAATAGTGTTGTCGTGGATGATGAATGCACTAGCTAAAGAGATCCAAGGAAGCGTTGCCCATGTTGACACCGCAAGTGAAGTTTGGTTGGACTTGGAAGAATGCTTCACTTAAGGGATTACTCCTAGAGTTTATGAGTTGAAACATGTCGTTGCTCTCCTCCAGCAAAAGAAGCCCCTAATTTCCTCATATTATGGAAAATTGAAAGTTGTTTAGGGTGAGTTACAATCTTCTAACCCAATTCCTGTGTGCACGTGCAATTGTACTTGTGGTGCAGCCAAGAAGGTTTAGATCATGAGGAAAGAAGAAAAGGTAAATGATTTTTAATGGGTCTTGATGACAGCTTCTCCACCATTCGGTCTCAGGTACTAAGCATCGAACCACTACCATTCATTGGTCGAGCATATGCTGTTGCTGCAAAGGATGAAAAACAAAGGTTAGTCGTCATTGCTAGGACACCCATCATTGAGGCAATAGTGCTGATGGCAAAGAACACTTGAGGTGGACAAATAAGGGTTGCAAATCAAATCAGAGAAAAGACTCAAGAGACATAAGTTGGTGGGAATAGTGGAAGCAGTAGCGATGGGAATTTGTGTTGCACCACTACCACAAGATGACCCACACACGTGAACACTGTTATGCACTAAATTGGGTATCCTTCTTGGTGGTGCAAACCACAAAATTGCATTGAAAATCAAGGACGAAGACAAGGAGCAAGTCAAGGCAATGGTGCATTGTCATCACACACAAAGACACCATGGGTGGGTCTTTCACAACAAATGTCAAAAACGAATCTCTTTTAATTTTAGGCTTGTCAAGTACACAACACCAACAGCTGATGGCTTTATTTGAGACATAAACCCCCGTCTTCTACAAATATGGTGGCAGCAAACTCCATAAATGATAATTTTTCTGGTAAAACTGCATTTACAGTACCTTGGGCCATTGATACAAGGGCCACCGATCATATCACTTGTTAGATTGAGATAATATCCAATGTGGTAAAAAATCCTAACATACCTTCAGTTGAGATTCCTAATGGAGAGACAATTGATGTGTCGGCCTTAGGGCAAGTGATCCTTAGCCAAAGTTTGGTTCTGAATAATGTCTTTGGCGTACTAGAGTTTCGTTATAATTTGATATTAGTGACACAACTGACAAAGGACTTGAATTGTATTATGATATTTTGGCTTGATTTTTGTGTGATACAAGACTTACATTGGAGTAAACTGATTGGAGTGGATAAAGCGAGGAAAGGCTCATTTCTTGGAATCCATGAGGTGAGGCATGGCACTAGTGGCAAACGGGCAATGGAATGCAAGTTTATGGCATTGTCGATTGAGACATCTACTAGTTCATCGATTCTTTGTGATTCCAAACTTATCTTGTTACTTTGATACTCAGAAACATTTATTTTGTGATGCATGCTACAAAGCAAAACAAATGCGATTACCTTTTCCTGTTCACACAAATAAAATTAATTGCATTTTTCAATTGATTCATTGTGATATCTAAGGTCCATATCACACTCAATCTTATTCAGGAGCATATTATTTTCTTACCATTATAGATGATTACAATTGAGTCATTTGGGTTTATCTCATGAAAGTCAAGTCTAAAACAATAAAATATTTACTTCATTTATTCCATTGGGTGAAGAATCAGTTTAATTTGACAGTTTAGATTCTACGAACTGACAATGGTATTGACTTATATCCAAATAATTTAGTTCCTTGATTTTGAAAATTTATTCAATTTAATCCCTCCCCTTAATGACATTAAATTTTATCATTAAAAAGGATGACGTCAATGTTGACGTGGCACATTTTGATGATGTAACATCAATGTAATGACGTGGCAATACCATGTGGCAATGTTGATGTGGCATTAACATGTTGACATATCAATGTCACGCGATAAATAAAAAAAAAATTAAAAATTTATGTCACGTCATAGGGATTAAATTGAATAAAAATATATAGTACAAAGACTAAATTAGATAAATTTAAGATGTTGATGAATTAAATTGAAAAAAAAATTAAAAATATAAATATTTATATAAATTATTGATATACTTGTTAATAAGCTAAATATTTAAGTGTAAAATATTTATAGTATTAAAAAATATATATTTTTTTTCATAAAAAAAATTATACTTAAAGTTAAATTTAGATAAATAACTTGTATTATATTAAAATAAAATAATATAAAATGACTAAATAAATTTTTTTTCTTCTATTTTTTTTCTCCTTAAACTTCTAAGTCTTTCAAGTTTTGTCAAGTTTTGTCACCTGGACCACATGCTGATATCGATAATTCCCTCTTCTATATGCAAACAGAAAACAAGACAATGTATATAAAATGTGGAACTGAAAACTAGACCATCTAAGTAAAATGTGTCAACCCAATGAGGAGCAAATAATAGAATCTAAATCTAACAAGGATGTCATTAGAGCAGAATACATGAAAAAAGAGTAGCACTGATTGGGACTCTTCTCTACAGGTCTCTGAAAGAGCACCCAACCGTATCTAGATGTCTGGAAAAAGGGTCTCTTTTCTCCCTTAATGCCTCCTTCGATGTCGAGGGAGCTTTATTAGTGGTGAGAATGCCATGATGGCGTACCTACACCCAACTCTTTCAAATTCCACGAATTCGAATTTAATCCAACGAATATTATGCGTTTAATAATATCATGGGAAATGTCAGACCAATCTCTTTCTTCCTTATTTCCCAAAGCTTGTTGCACAGCCAACATCCTCCCTTGAAAAAAAATCTGTCAAAATCTTGTGTATGATAATTTTAACATAGATTAATGAGGTATATATATAATTATTAAATTTCTAATTCTAATTAATTAATAATATATTATATTACAATTTAATTAAAATTGTGTTATAACTTAAAATCCTCCCTCTGCCCCTATACTTTAATAGAACGTATTCATTTTAAATTAAATCTCTTTCTTTTTTGATTTGTTTATTTTGTCCTTTTATTTTTATATAATTGAATTACTTAACTACAAAATCCATTTTCTAGAACGCCAAAGAACACTCTCGTTCTCACGTGTAGATTTCTTTCCCTTTCTTTGATTTTTAAAGTCAGGGGCCAGTGTACCTAATTCCATGTTGACATAATCATGTGTTTTGTACATGATAATTAGGTCCAAGATTCAAAACGTAAGCTTAGCTGATTAATATGTTATGTTGAACTACTGAAATATAAATAATTTATATATATTTAAAATTATATTACATTGAATTAATCGTATTATATTTATATAATTATTAATACTCTAATATCATAGATGATAAGGTTACAACATGAATTCAAAACTATAAACTCAACCACTTATTTTCCGAATTTTTAAAAGAAAATAAAAATTAAATACGAAGCTGATGCTTAACTCCAATGGTTGAAACAATTGGCCACGAAAAGAAGGGAAAATGAAAGAGAATTGTAGAAAAATGACATCTTTTAAGTCTTTAACTATTTAACTGTAGCAGTTCCAGCTCAGCATATATGCAAAACCATCAATCTTTAAGAAAAGGAAAAACTGCAGCCTTATCCAAATGAGAAAGAACCCAATGGAGCACTGCCAAGTCATCGACAAGTATCAAAGTGTATCCAATTCTGGCTTTCTAAAGCCACAAATTGCTCATGTGGCTCCAGGGGTCTGCTAGGTTGATGTTCTCTTTTAAACCCAAAGTGAAAAGAAAAAATCATCAGAGAATCAAACTAGAAACAGAGGGAGAGAAACTGCATCTGATTATCATTTCTTCTGCTTTGAGATTAGCAAATGGCTGCCACTGCAATGACCACTCTCCCTCAGTTCAGTGGGCTAAGACCCAGAATTTCTGCAGCTCCGGTTAGGAGCCTGGTTAGTGATTCTTTCAACTTGGTTTTTCTGGTTTTGTAGGTTTAATATGAACTTTCAGTTTATAAGTCTTGCTAGTTTAAAAAAAAATTGTGTGGAAAACGCAGGCAGCGGTTCAGCCAATGAGGCGCAAGGGGAAGGGAGCTTTGGGTGCTCGCTGTGGTTACATTGGTTCTCCCACAAATTTGGTGAGGATTTCATTGATTGTTTTCAGATCTCTTTAGTTCTTGATTGACTGATATTTGGGGTGTTGGGACAGATAATGGTGACAACAACAAGCCTTATGCTCTTTGCTGGGAGATTTGGGTTGGCTCCCTCGGCAAACAGGAAGGCCACTGCTGGGCTGAAGCTCGAAGCATGGGACTCCGGGTTGCAGACTGGTGACCCTGCTGGTTTTACTCTCGCAGACACCTTGGCTTGTGGCTCTGTTGGCCACATTATTGGTGTTGGGATTGTTCTTGGCCTTAAGAACATTGGTGCTCTGTAAAAATTAAAAAATAAAATAAAATTTAAGCACTGTTTTTTTTAATTTGAACCAAGCTTCTCGATTTTATTTTATTGATATTTTTTTCATAATTTTACGTTACATATCTCCTCACAGTCTCGAGCCACAACAATTTGAAGAAGCAATTAAGAATCTCCATGATCATAAGCAAATTTAGCTTGCTGCTTACATGCATTGGTTTCATGATGGTTATGTTGAAGAAAAAAAAATTAAAAAAAAATAAAGGAAAATTGAAGAGAAAGGAAATATGGGCTTCCAATTAAATCAGCCGACATGTATTTGGTCTCTTGGGCCAACTGCCCATTAGACATTGGAGGTTTTGGATCGAGTTTGTGGCTTTTTTTTTTTGTAATAATTAAATAAAACATAAAATTTAAATTCAAATTGAATACATTAGAAGACTAAATTAAAATTTGAAGAAGTTTAAATATATATATTTATTGAAAAATAGAAATAAAGTTTTTGATGTTTAATAAGCAGTGATATAATTACATATATAAAATACTTTTAATTAATTTTTTATATATTTTCAATATTCTTATTAAATATGATTAATCTATTAATTTTATTTTTAAAATTAATTTTTTTGAATATTTAAAAAAACAAAACTTTTTGAATTCCATCTAAAAAATTTATTTAAATTTTATCATAAATTTCAACTGTAGAATGTTGTAAACTCACATTTTCAATTTAAAAGATAGATTTGATAGGTGGTCGAAAATTCATATTTATATAATTAATATTCGTATAGGGAAATGACTCTTACATTAGTTTGAGTCCATCTTGACTTTTATATGTTTTATGGATCTCACATAAGTAAAAATCTAGATCTACTCTTATACTATTTATCATGAATTCACATTTTTAACTTAAAAAATATATTTGATTAATAATGAAAGTCTTATATTTATATACTTAAGACTCACTTTATCTTAAAATTCATGACATATAGTATGGATCCTATTATGCAAATATCCTCATTTTTAACTCTTAAATAGATACGAGTTGATACATTCAAATTAATATTTAAGAACAAGTCGTTCAATTTGGAAAAAATTTTAACAAAAAAACATTTTAAATATTATATTTGGAAATTGAAATTACTAGTACTTTAATTATTTGTTTTAAAATTTGTAATCTAATTTAACAATTAAAAGATTATAACGGATGAATGCGTATTAGTGTACTTTTTCTTTTTTGTTCTTAGATGTGTGTTTATTTTTAAATTTTATAAAAATGAAGATAAAATTTTTGAATTTTATATATTTTATATTAAAATTTAAAAATTTTTATATTATAAATAAAAAATAAATTTATTATTATAACAATGTATTATAAATTTTAATATAATGTAAATTCTCAAAAAATATAAAAATATCAAGTATTTAGAATACAAAAAAACTTCATATTTTATAATATAAAATATCTCAACAAATGAATTATAGAATAATTATTCATTCATTTTGTCTCTAAATATTTATTTTTTTTAAATTTTTTTAAAAATAAAAATAAAAATTTTGAATTTGACATACGTTATATTAAAATTTTAAAATTTTTTAATAATACAAATATTCAAAAACTTTTTAATATGAGAAAGTACATAATTATTTGAAAACTAAATTTATAATATAAAAATAAAAATATTAGGTATCTAAATAGGAGAAAAGAACTTTTGAACATTTCAAAAAAGGAAATAAATAAATAAAATACTAAAAGAGTATATATTTTATAAAAATAATTAAATCTAAAAATGAAAAAAAAAAAGAAAATGTAAAAGGTATAGTGCTACTAGAAACGATGGAAGCCATGACGTGTTACCTAAATACCGTGTCTGCAGCACCGGCGCCACTGTAACAAAGAAGCGAAGCCGCTTAAGGAAGAAAGCTGAGCTTCGCAACCTTTCCAGAAGCAAAGCCAGTCGGGACAGACTTACCCTAGGGCTTCCCCCCTTTCAACCAGAGATCTGCGGGAAGAGGAAAAATGAGTGTATGGAACTACGTGGTGACGGCGCACAAGCCTACCAACGTTACTCACTCTTGCGTCGGCAACTTCACCAGCCCTCAAGAGCTCAATCTCATCATTGCGTATGTCTGCTTCCCGACCCCCCTCTCTTTCTTTTTTCCATTCTGATTATCTTTGCCCTAATTTTCACTTCTCGAATTTTTTTTCTTTATTTGTTTATTTTTCGATAATACAAGAGCTAGGGCTTTAACGTAGCTGTGCAGTTTCGGTTTTTATTGATTAATAGCGAGGAATTTGAGTCCAGCAGCTTATAATTACTAATTCGATTAAGTATTCTTCTGCTTTCAGGAAATGTACTCGGATTGAAATCCATTTGCTTACTCCTCAAGGATTGCAGGTGTCTAGTTTAATTTCTGGTTGGAGATGAAATAACATATGAAAATTAGTGGCTTTTCTTATTTCTTTTCACTGCAAAATGAGAGATGGTTCTTTTGTCTTTCCTGGTTAGGAAAAAAATAAATTTTGAGAATTGCATTTTTCATGTTTCAGCCGATGTTAGATGTGCCAATATATGGAAGAATTGCAACACTTGAACTTTTCCGTCCACACGTGAGTAAATATCTTTGTTATTCTAAATATTCTTTCAGACTCGACCTAGATAATATTTGATTTAGTATAAGTTGAGCATTTTGTAACAGGGTGAAGCACAGGATTTTCTGTTTATTGCAACAGAGCGATACAAGTTCTGTGTTCTTCAATGGGATGCTGAGACATCCGAGCTTATTACGAGGTTTGAAAAATGAAAAAAAATATGTTTTACGTACATATTTTCTTATGGTTCATTTGCTCATCCTTCAACTTGTAAGACTTGATTTGTGCATACTTTATGTTATAGCACTCAATTTGCCCTGAACTATCAGTTTTGGCATCTAACTCACATAGGTTTCTCTTGTGGGACTATTGTTTTTGTTTGTTTTAATTTCCTAAATTTTGGTATGATTTTTCATGGTGGTGCTAATAACAAACTACATCACATCTGTTTATGAAGTTAGACAGAGGTGATCTGTACTGTGTATGAAGCCGTGGGGAATTTATCTCATATGTCTGCTGTGTGATTCTTGTTAAATTACTATTTATGTTAAGAAAGAGAGGAAAAGGTGGAAGACAACAGTGGTCCATCTTCTTTCATAGATTGTCTATTGTGGTTGTTCTTTTCTTCAAAGTCTTCTTCTGTTGATGCAATTTGGGCCATGATGATGTCTATAAGAATTTGTGGGGTGTGTTTCTGATTTTCTTTGAGCAATGTTCTTGGAGCTAAGATCATAGGCTGTTACCTGCAGGGCAATGGGGGATGTTTCAGACCGTATTGGTCGACCCACAGACAATGGACAGGTAATTATTGTTTATTTCAAAGTGATTCTTGTGGTGGGTACAAATGTTTCTCAACAATGCAAAGTTTATTTTTCGTTGCACCCTTCAGAAAAATTCTTTTCATTGACTCCTTCCCCCTTCTTTCCATTTTCTACAGATTGGCATAATAGATCCTGATTGTAGGTTAATTGGACTCCATCTATATGATGGGCTTTTTAAGGTATGCACACTTGGTGCAGCAAATTCCAACTCCAAGCCTATATAATTTGTTGTTCACTATTCTCATTTCCTGAGACAGTTGTACATCATATTTTTTGTGGTTTTCTCAGGTTATTCCTTTTGATAATAAAGGGCAACTCAAAGAAGCATTTAATATAAGGTATTCTTCTTCTTCTTCTTCTTCTTCTTCTGTTTTTCTTTTCTCCAGTCATTCCAATCAATACAAGGTTCTTTTTTAGTAAGTAAAGAGATTGGTTATGATCCTAACCAAGTGTAAATAGTAGATGCTGGATGAACCACAGTTTTGGTAATCCCTAAATAAAATTTTTCTTACGTACTGCTTCACTTTTGTTGCAATAAATGTTTATCATAGATTAAATGCTGCAGTAGTTCAAATTAGTTTTGGTCCATGGCTTATATTTCAATAAACATCTGATTGTTTCTTTATATTACCTCTTTCGGCACTGTCAATAAATCTTTTAACTGATCAAAACAAAGTTATTATGTTCAATTAAAAGAGCATTAGATATTTGTTTGAATTGGTGTCCTTGATTTTACTTCGGTATGACTGCTATTTGTTTTTCAGGCTTGAGGAACTTCAAGTTTTGGACATCAAGTTTCTATATGGTTGCTCAAAGCCTACAATCGTAGTTTTATACCAGGTCTCAATTTTCTTTCTAAATGCATATCTTTATTCTAGATTTGTGCATTATCTCTTTCTTTCTTTCCTTTTTTAACATTTTCCAAGTTTAGGCACAAAACTTTTAAATTTTATTGCCTTGAGCTAAGACTTCTTTAAGTAATCTGAGCTTAGCTAAAAATAATAAAAGGAAATAGCAGTAATTGGTGCTTGAATTTTACAATAGGGAAGTAATTTGATTTGGTTTTTGCCTGTAATTAAGCTTGAGTCAGTAGGATATTGTCATTTTGTTAGCTGTATTTGTTGTTAATGGTCTAGTTCTCTTGCATTTATTTCATGTATTGTATTTTATGATGTAAACAACACAGATACACCGGGATAATTGTTTCTGTTGCCTTTTATTTTGTGCTCTTTCTTACAGGACAATAAAGATGCACGTCACGTTAAAACATATGAGGTTGCTCTAAAGGAGAAGGACTTTGTTGAGGGACCATGGTCCCAAAACAATCTTGACAATGGAGCTGATTTACTCATACCTGTACCCCCACCTCTCTGTGGTGTCCTTATTATTGGAGAAGAAACAATTGTCTATTGCAGTGCCAATGCATTCAAAGCAATCCCAATCAGACCTGTAGGTCACCTATTGACTTACTGCTTGATTTTTATAAGTTCTCTAAAGGATCTTTACAGTAATTCCTTGTAGATTTGACATTTCTTGCTGATATTTGATGTGTGCTTCTAGTCAATTACAAAAGCCTATGGAAGAGTTGATGCTGATGGCTCTCGGTATTTGCTTGGCGATCATGCTGGCCTTCTTCACCTGCTTGTCATAACCCAT